GGGTAACCAACCAATAAATAGTTAGTATAGAGGTGAGGATTGAGGGCGGTCAGAGGTCAGGCTTTATAGGCTAATTCTGCCAGAAACTTTGGGAGCTAAAGGAGGTGTCACACGATAAGCCAGTCGACATGAAACAGGTATGATCGCTGGGAGAAGAACGCTACTCGCCTGACATTTCGGACTCCTTGTTAAGGGGGTATCGCGCATTTGCTTAATTTAGTTGACCCAACTGTGGAAAAACTCGCCGCCTCGGTTGAAGTCGAACCCACACAGCAGGGAAGGCTTTTGTCTTTGCTAAGGTAATCCTGCTTGAGCAGTCAGCTTGCTGTTCCGTTATGGTTCATTCCATACAAGCGGCAAGTTGGACAGGTGAAATCGAACCAAGTGTGATTAAATTCACGGCGGAAGGCGTGCGTCGTAGCACAATCGATAGAGCGTTGGCTGCGCAAAAGCCTTCCCTGTTTTGCGGGTTCGGCTCCTGCCTATGCCGCGAGTTTTTTCACAGTTGCGTCAACTATATTTCGGATTCCGTCACGGAGCCGTCAGAGGCAATAGTAGACACGGGCAACTCATGCTCAGGGAGTTACAGTATTTGCAAGATACAATCGCTATGTTACCGTATACATACGACAAATAACATCTCACCCGTATGGAGGATAGCTGTCCGCTTCTGCGCTTGATGGCCGTTTCGGCTTCCGTCTCGGATCCATCATCAGACACAGTAGCAGAATTGGGTAATTCACAGGGAGTTGCAGTATTTAGAGGGTAAATTCACTATGCTACTACATACTTATGCCCATTAACGGCTCCCCCTATCGTTTGTGAACTAATTGCTCGATGGCTAGCGTACGGGTTGTGACCTTCTGAACTTTCCTCACCCGTGCTGGACTTGGATGTGATGATTTCCATGTCGCTGTTGCTGTAACGCCACGTAGCAGGTGTGAACAAACACGTTGCCTTCATCGCGGGCGGATACTTGTGGAGGCGGAGGCAGTGACCATTCGGTTAGCCAACCCAACCTTTTGCCCACCTAAAACGCTTGTGTGGATCCCGAGGATGAATCATCGAAAGTGTACGCTTGCCTAACTAGACTTCTAGAATGTTCACCCCGGTATCGGCCCTGAACTGAATACCTTATTCCTGCTGTTTGATAAAAGTGAATAAGAGTTTGCTTAAATGGAGGTAAACCGCGCCCATGTTAGCTTATCTTACTTCATTTAGGAGCGGTTGTGAACACGTGACTGCCTGCGCGGTCTCAGTGCGGATCGAAAAAGATATTTGCCCAATCATGTACACCAGAAAAGCAACTGGTTCGGTCCTAGTTACTATTCTCTTAAACCAACAGTACCAGGTTCTAGCACCTGCAATTGGACATTAAACCAACATAAATGGTTGGCTGGTAATAAAGCTAAAATTTACTTGACTCATGTTTTGAAAACGTGTGCGGCCTCGGTGGTATTTGAACTCACGACAACTCGAGCAGTTAGAGTGTTGACTGTCCCTTTCCTGCCGCTGGTCGGGATCCCATTGAGGTCGTTAAAATTTTCACAAGTAGGTCAGATGAATTGTTCAAAGCTGTCAAGCCCTCTATTAATTAAATAGGTCTAGTAAATTCTATGTTGGTTGCCTTGGAAATCCTGTTTGAGCAGTCAACTTATTGAATCGGAATTGGGGGATCCCATAGGTTGCATTAGACGGGGTGGGAGGCTTGACCCATGTGGGATTAAGCAAACGGCCCCGGTGGGACTGCGTTGGTCAGGTGCTTTCAGTGTTAGCTGCACTAAAGCCTTCTCCTGTCAAACCTTACAAAAACCACCCAGTTTTTTTTCAATTGGGTCATATAATTTATTCAAAACTGCCAAGACCCCCTTATAAAGATGAAATGCTCGTCTGAAATTATTGTTAAACAGAACCACTTGCG